GTATCTAACTCGAGTAAGTCGCTCAAAGTCGCGATCGTTGGGTATTCGAGTACGACAATTGCAGCCAACACACGATGTAGGCGTTCCCGAAGGTTAGGGGTGGATGCGAAGACCTCGTTGAGGAGACCGTCCATTTTGGAGAACACGTAGGACAGAGATGACGGTATTAAACGAAGCTAGGGTGAGGTTATAGCAACAAGGTCACTGTCAAGACTCAAGAGGAGTCAGTCGAGCTCAACTTTGCTATAAGTTCAATGACAGGCCATCATGTGACCGCGCCTCATGGCCCCTATCTTTGGGCCTTCAAGGATCTCGACATTGGGTTCAAGCCTTCGAGCTTCAAAAAAAATTCACAAGAAAATGAAATTCGAAACACTGATCTTGTTTGCTTGCCTTAATGTGCAGTTGGGAATTCCATTAAATCCTAGAAGTAGACTCGACCCAAAATAGTAAAGAGGTATACATGACTATTCTGAGAACGTCGTTTTCCTTCATAACCGACTGCATATGTCATATGTCACAGCTTGAGCGGCGAGCAGGAACAGCCATACAGGTACAAAAATGGCTTTTCTTGGGCCTTCTTATTAGCTTTCTTCATCGTCAGACTCTTCGTCATCTTCTCCAGAGTTTGCATCCGTGTCTTCTTCGTCGTCAGACTCATCAGACTCGTCTTCATATTCAATAACGTCGGACCAGTCAATAGATGATAGTTGAACACGTAGGTTGTTCAGCACAACCGCAGCAGTTGAGTTCTGCTCGACGTACTTCTATGAAATCCCGCAAAGTTAACAATGCAATAAAAATAATATGAAGAGCGATCGCACCTCCTTCCAAGCCCCAAGTCCATCTGTGAACGACCCCGGTGAGAGTAGAGGTTTGTATTTTATAATAATCTTTGAGCCCGTAGTGTGATCATGCAGTCTGGCATGCAAAGCGAGAAGACATTCGATGATTTTTGATGAATAGGTTGCTTCCGCGAAGTGACGTGCCCATTCTACAGCTGCAGTGCTGGGTTTCCAGCCGTAAAAGCTACGATGAGGGCATTCAGAGTTATTTGAGTAGGAAGAGGAAGAGAGTTTTACCATCTCACGAGATCCTCGCCCAGGAAGAACTCAAGAATCGTGGTGTGGGCAGTATTGTCGATGAGATCCAGCCACTGCCCGCGATCGAATCCTTCGAGGTTAGAGATAGTCCTGTAGATGGTTATATTATGTCGCCGCTGCAAAGCGTCTATAGTGACCTGTAAGCTCTGCGCTCAGGTATTGGAGACGTAAAGCAACATCACCATGAGTGTCTGGGTCCGCAAAAGCGGCAGTTAGGGCACCATTTTGTAAAAATATGACGAGTAAATCTTTCAATTTCTGGTGTAGATTTTTGAAACTTGGTCCAAGCATACTCGCCTTCTTAATGATGGATAATATTGAATGTCAGCAGAATAGACATCATTGGATGTGACTTACTTGACAATTCAGAATCACAAACGACATGAGAGGAGTGAAAAGTGTATGACACCCGAGATATGCCAAATTTGGACCGAGCAGGACTGAAAGTGATTGGGGAGAATGAATTCGATCGATGAGAATTGATAGAGAACACGAAGGAGGATCGTCGATATCAGGGTTGAGAATCAAAATGTACGAGTCCCTCATGGGCTTCAAAAACAGGTCCCATGCTTTGTGTTTAAGTAGAGTAAGATCCTCTTCATTGAGAAACGCTTCATATGTATCCCGAAGCGCACGTATACGGACCTCCCTATACGCCTTGAAGAATTCAGATCCAACCAGATTGGAGTTTTCAATTACGTCCATGAGTGACCAGTCAACACAAACTCGAAGCGGATGAGAAGTTGGATCATGGAAGGCATATACGTTCCCAGTGTCAAGATTAACGAAGCCACGCGATCTGTCAATAATACCGAGCACAATATCCCATGAGAGATGAGGTTGATTGCTCATTTCCTGGACTGTTTCGGTCCACATCGAAGTTTCGCTACGAAAAAGGTATGGGAGGATGTCGAACATTCCTGTGCTGTTCGGAGATTGATCCTCAAACCATTCTCTCAACGCAGCAGCTACTACAGATTGAGCTGTCTTGAAGTTTACACCTTCTTCAGATAGGTATTCGTCGTCGGTTCCCTGAGGACATGTATGAATAATGAGCCGCGAGATTCGAACAATGTCGAATCGACTTACTTCTTTGCAGCAGCGTAGCAAAAGACAGAACGTCATTATGGATTGCGGATTCGAGGTCACTAATCGTTGATGTGCAAGATCGGCGTGTTGGAAATTCTTTAGCTCCAGAGCGAAGAGAGGCCAAGAATCATCCCAAGAACGCTCATAGTCTTCATTCTCTGGCCATAGACCACTCAAGCCATGAAAAATAGTTTTCCATGTGGACCGGTGCATGGCTATCGGGCTGTGTGAACTCCGTCAACAATGCCCGTTTCATTCCGATCGAGTGATCTGACCTTGGAGATATACTTGTTGAGAGGAGATGATCTGCACGGTTCTGAAGCGTTTTGCGAGCTGCCTCGTAGTCAATCCAGAAGTCCTTAGCTCTTGATTGGTCTGTAAAGAACTCTTTCCAGGCGACATCCTGAAAGGAGACAATGGGAGATATATACGTTGCAAGGGGGAACTCGGCCAGGGTTGGCGGTAATGTTGGCAACTCTTCAATCTCTACAATGAGCCCAAGGTTCTGTAGGGTAGGTAAGATATCAGAGCTATCCAGCTCAAGTAAATCGCTCAAGGTCGCCATTGTTGGGTGTTCAAGAACAACAACTGCCGACAAAACACGATGCAGACGTTCTCGAAGTGAAGGAGGGCTGAACGACAAGAACTGGCTATAGATGCTGTCCATGTTTAGGAAGAGAGATAGATGGTAGTGCTAGACAATATTGAGCGAAACTATTTCGACCTAGTGAGGGTGAAGACGTGGTGAGTCGTGAGTCGTGACGGTGATTGTCAGAGAACTCTGAGAGTCAGACGCTCCAGGCTGTTCAAGGCCATGTGACCGCGTTTTGAAGCCCCTATCTTTCCAGCCTTGCTAGCCAAGCGTGATTACGTGAAGTAGACAAAAGAACTGACACAGATGACGTTCACTCCATGTCGCCTGTACAAGTGCTTTCACAGACTCGCGCCTCTTGTGGAGAACTTGGATTAGATGAAGCGCTACCGTACTAACTTTTATAGCCTTTCTTTGATCCGGGAATGGGTGTGGATATGAAAGGAGTGATACTGTGAGGCATCCCGATTAAGTGGAAGCTATTCCATCGTCCTGTGGTCTTACGAAACGCATTTAAAACGAATGTTCGAGCCTTAAAGAGACCCATTAGTGTTATCCACGACAGATGCGATGGCCGACAATCGAGATACCATGTCATCACCTCATCGGTCCATTCTAATCAGCCAAGCCCGATGAGTGAGATGAAAGGATCTCCAGCGATAACACTTACATTCATGCTGCCTCAATGTTTATTTCCACTCCTGGCTCCGATTTGATCACGACGTATATAAGGCTCGAAGGCGTTTACCCCGATCTTATATCGACCATCTCAAGCACACCAGTTTACAATGGAAGGTCTCATGAAAAGCTTGCACCTCAACGACAACAGATCGCAACAATCACACGACGCGCCTACTCCTCCTCCTTCTGCTGCTGTATCCCCTCCAACCCACACACCTAAGAAGGAGGGCTTATTCGGGAAGCTCGACGAATTCTCTTCAGCGATCTCGGGTCACAAAACACCAACCCCAAGCCAGACACCGCCACCACCTACTGTAGCCCATCCTCAAGTAGAAAACCATTCTAGCAGGTCATCTGATAACGTCTTTGACAAGCTCAGCGACGCGATCACTGGGAAGAAGACGCCGCCGCCTCCAACCGTTGCGCAACCACCTCCAAACCAACATCACTCGAGCTCTGTCTTCAGCCACCTCGAAGAAGCCATTACTGGTAAAAAGACTCCACCCCCTGCTCCTCCTGCGGCTCCTCATCACGAGAGCGTGTTTGACAAGTTCAGTGAGGCTATTACGGGGAAGAAAACTCCTCCACCACCTCCGAAAGAGGAGAACTTGTTCGATAAAGTGGGTAATCAAATCTTCGGTATTGGGAAACCTGCCGCACATGAGCAAAAGCCTCAAGGATTCGGCGACAAACTGAATGCCGCTCTTGGTGGTGGTGCTAAGGGAGAGATGGAAGAAGGAAAGTTGGATAAAGGTCTGTCAAGAACATGAGCTTGTGTGGCCATCCGCTGAACATAATCATCCAGCCATCGACCTCTTCCAGGAACACGTACTTAAAGCAGGACCCCAGAGCAACGAGTCTGCTCTGGAGCAAGCTAAAGACAAGCAAATCGCTGACGCCATTCGAAATGCGATCGGTAACAGTGCGAGGAAGGACCACAATTAACCCACGGGACGCCAAGGAAAAGCTGGAAGTCATATCGTGTGGTCGTATGTTTAATGTATAAACAATGCAATTAGTTGTATAAATACGTGCAGTAGTTTCAGACCCTTGAACATCGTCTATCAACCACAGGTAGAATCGAAGAGGATGAATGTGAGGATTACCGGCTCTGTTCAACCCACTGAAAGAGTAGGTTGAAACGCGATTGTTGTCGAGCACTAAGACATCCAGTCACTTTTAGCACTACTTTGGCACAAATCAACGCGAAAGAGAACTCTAAGAGTACGTTGCGGTTTGTAATTTGACATGAGTGCAATGAAAGAGAAGTCCAAGAAATTTCTGACAACAGAGTGGTGGCAGCGGCCAATGCCGAGTCTGGGTTTGATATTTTGCCGATGGGCCGCATCTGCCCCAGACTGCGATCTTACTGCGGTCAAAAGAACTTCGTGATTGTCAACAACTGAGCACGGAAGGCACTCAAATGCAACAACCGTAGCAACACGAACTGACAAGATAATCTTAAATATTTACTCGTCATTCGACTGCTTTTCGCTTGTAGAATTCACAATGTCTGGCGAGTACCTTGGGTCAATGCTTCCTTGGCTCAGTTGGAAGAGCGCAGGTCTCATATTTAGTTATGAGTGGTCTTGCAGACCATGCCATCCTGAGGTCGAGAGTTCGAGCCTCTCAGGGAGCAAAATTTTCGTTAGTTTTTATGCCGAGGCCAAATTATCGACAAAACATGGTAGGACACGCCCAGGCCTATTTATAGTCCTGCTACGCGAGCTCATGAACGAGGGATCACTTTAATTTTAAATTGTGTTCTGAATCTGCATGACAATGTCGATCTTCATCTGACGCTGCTATCTCGTGTACGAGCCCAAATATCATTGAATCTGCTAGCTTGAACTGTAGGTCCAAGAACGGATACCTAAAATTATAATGATTGGACAAACTCATCAATTGTTCGATCGTTCGTCGATCGCGTACATTCGATATGAATACGGCTACTTTTTCACGTCCAAGATGATTTTTAAATTCTCCTCCAAGTCCTCCTTTGGAAGCCTCAGCAGCTCGTTGTTGGATAAACCCTCGCGATAAGCGCCCAAACCCTCCTTACCAAACGTCACCAACTTGATACCATCAATCGGGCTTCGTTTGTCGTTCCTCAGTACCTCACCCGAATCTACATGCTTAATCTTCCATGTTTCACCAGTCACCTTTTGGATTGCTGCTGTCATCTTGTTAAGCGTAATTGTGTGCGACGAAATATACACATATTTGTTCGCTGTGGCCTCAAGGATTGCGGAGTCACTGAGGAGGTTGGCAAGAGCTTTGCCGATTGTGGCCAAATTGCTCACAGCGAAAGGCGCTTCTCCGTCGTCCCACTTCTCAAGGGTCTTTTGCTGAACGTTGATTGCAAGAAGGTTTACGTGAATACCCTGTGTTGACATAAGGTTACTGTTTCATAGGAGAGGGTGGAAACGTACCCAATCGAAGAATATGCCAGTTACCGGAGACGACCACGAGAACGTATCATTCTGTAGACTTTTCAAGTGGTCAACCGCTTTCCTTTTGTGGTTGAAGAGGGGAACCAAATCCACTATACGGTCATCGGTGCTGTCGGAACCAAACTCTGAAGGTATGAAGCGCTTGACGCCGCTAGCCTTTGCGGCATCTATCAAGGCCGCCTGAACATCTGCAATAGGCTGGGTAGTTACGCTGAGCGTCGAAATAACAGCGTCAATCTTCTCTGCTGTCAAAATTGCTTCGAGTGAAGTAGGCGTGTAGTCCGTCTTCAGGACATTTACTGAATCACTGACGAAGGAGTAAGTTTGATTACAACTACTACTGGAAGTAGCATGACATACGGAAACGTCGCAGATGAGTCCTTCCTCGTTAAGACGAACAAGGTGAACTTGTTGTTGGAAATGAGTTCCTGCAAAACAGCTGGGCCCAAATGTCCACTAGCCTATAGATGAGTGCGATTAATATGTGGGTTCTAAACAGTAAACGAAAATAATTACTCCGGCCACAAGAACGTTTCTGATCGTCATCAAGCTCGTCATTCGTGTTAGGAAGCGTTTCAGGAAAGAGCTTTGCTAACTTATTTGAACAATAATCTGAGCTACTTTATAGACGGCATATGTCATGTTGAACCCTAATGATGTTAGCTCATCAAATCAGCTGCCAAGTCGACAAGAATCGCAAGAGATACTTTGTAATATGATCCCAGCTGAGTCAGGGCGTGTCCGGAAGATGCTCCTGAGATTCCTATACGTGATGGACCTGACGTAGTTGAGCCGGAAGCGTAGCGAGAGGCATTGAACTGATATCATACAGGCGTCAAACATCTTGAAGTACACGGGCCATTTATTATTGCGGCGACCCAGCGTCGCGACGCGTTGGCGCCTAATTTTGAATAGCGACACGACTGAACATTGTGCTGTTACTACATTTAAATCATTTAATTGGATCACTAAATGGACTCAATGCTAGCCACATACCCGGAAAAAGAGAAAATACGACAAGGAGGTTATTGAGATTTATATTTCACACTCTTCGGCAAGAAAAAAAACCCCTATTATAAACAAGTCGGGCTTAGGGATATAGATGTCCATCGAACGGGGGTGCTTTTTACTGAGGCCCGCTTCGCAACAATGCATGCAAATAACGAGCGCCGTTACAGTATTCTCGTACTCGTACATCCGAGATTCTTGATCAAGGTACGTTCTTCAATTTCGAGCACAATCTTCGACTTTGACTGATTTAAGCTGCCCTAGAGTTTAGTAACAAGCTAGCCCTCAATAGATTTCTGAACATGTAAAAGTGTCCTTACCAGCTATCCGAATTTACTGATCAAAACTCATCTCCACCTCTCCTCGCCCGTTGGGATGGTTTCTGAACCTCCACATGAATAACTCCATCCCTTCCTTGAATGTCCCTCGCGGCAATGGTTTCTGCTTGTACACCACGTCGTTGTAACTCGGAGTTCAACACGCTGTAGAGATGTGTATCTAACAACTGACCCACTTGACCGACATAATTCAGCCCCAGGGTAGGGTGTCGAGCAGAGAGGGTGTTAGGCGAGCCAATGAACGGCGATGAAGCGGAAAAAGTGACTGCGATGTAGCTGTACGTGCTATGGTCTAGATTATGTGCCATTTTGGTTGTTCTAGAGCAATCAAGTCCTCAGAGAGTAGGGTAACGAAGAATGAAACCCGGTTCTGGAGAGGGAAGGCGAGTGACGCATGAAGCTGCTGATAAGATTATCCACCTTCATGCCGTGGTCGGCTGTCAAGATGCCAAAAAGTTAAGATCCATAAAGCTGAATCGTTACTAAGTATTCGACTTTACAATTCTCTCGGCATTTAGATATTCACAGTCATACTCAAAGTGAATGCTGGATCCATGTAAAGGAAGACTTTGCGACGCTTGACCTGGATAATCACCTGCAGATTCGATGAAGATCGTTCCAAGCTTGTACATAAACACATGCTTGATCTCATTCCTTGATCTTGGACACTACATGGAAACAGTATCGACTCCATTACAATGTCGATGCTCATAATTACATACCGGTCGAATGCACGGATATGCTGATATTGTTGTTGACATTAGCAGGTACGAATGAGCAGTTGCTATTTTAGAAGACAGGAGTGTGTCCGCGATCGCCATTACATGAGGTCGATATTTTGCACAATGCATAAATATTCACCAGATGCAACAATCAACGTTGGGATCCCCGAAGGGAATTCCAAGATTCGGATGGGTGATTTATGATCGGCAAGTCGGCTAAAAAGCTGCTGGTTATGGGGACCATCCACTAGGTCTCTACACATCCACTGTGATTACGCTTTGTGTTATGTTGAAGGTGTTTCAAGAGGGAAGGATTTTGAGGATCCACAAAGCCTCACAAATAGATGGGCGCTGTTTCTGACCAGCACGTTGCTTCCGCAAGGCAATTCACAGCCAACCGACAGTGCCTCATGCCAAGCGACTTCCCATCACGACAAGATCAGCTGCTGCTGAGATATCGAATTGCTATTCGGGGATACCAGTCCGTCCTTATAAAAGCCCACGACTTTCTTGGTGACTTTCCCAAGCCTGGTGCTCTTATCCCACAACTTGTAGGTTTTTCTCTAATCAAGAATTTCAGTTCAGGCAACTGATAGTTGTTTTCTTAGTCTTAGGCAGGACCTTTGATTTCGTCGTCGAACAATTCAACCTCGTAAGTGTTAGGGTACGATCGTTGGACGAGATTTTAACATCGTCGTAGTTCTATCTCAACTTCATATTTTCATATTCAACATGAAGCTCTCTACCAACTTCGTTCTCCTCGCTACCGTCCTTGCTTTCGGTTCCACCTCAGTTCTGGGTCAATCGTACGACATCGAGGCCCGAGACCTCGTCGAGGCTGGCGAGTTCGATGCTCGCGATCTCGTGAACGCCGACTATGCTGACTTCGACGCACGTGAATTCTACGATGATGTTGCTGTCGATGCCCGTGAATTTGATCTTCCTGAACTCGATCTTCGTGAGTTCGTTTACGAGCGAGCGGATGCGACGGTAAGCCTTTCTTGTGCTTCGACACTCGCTTATCTGACATCACATGGTGTAGCCTTCCACCCCTGTTACTCCGTCAACGGTCTCTCCTCCCCAGTCGCCCATCAAGGCTACTTCTGAGACTGATGCTGCCCCCAAGAAGCATAAGCACATCTCGGCAGAGAAGGCCGCTAAGCGCAAGGCTTTGAAGGCTGCAGCCGCTGACCCTTCGAACCCCAATCACGCGAAAGCCCTTGCGAAGATCGCCAAGCACAAGGCATTCAAGAAGGCACTCAAAGACAAGACGGACCCTAACCACGACGCGGCTGTCGCCAAACACAAGGCCAAGAAAGCACACAAGAAAGCGCTCGCTGACCCCACCGATCCCAACCATAAGGTCGCCAAGGCTAAGCAGGCAAAGAAGAGCGCTTTGAAGCACAAGTCACTCCGAGCCAAGAAGTCCTCAAAGCACTCCAAGTCGAGGAAGTCGAAGTCGTTGTCCCGAAAGTCGAAAAAGAGCCTGCGCTCAAAGAAAGGTCTCAAGCACAAATCGTCGAGGAAGTCAAAGCTCCTCCGCAAGCACAAGGGCCTTAGGACTAAGAAGACTTCCCGCCGCCACCACAAGAACAAGGCTCGTCTCCACCTCAAGAAGGCGAAGAAGTCCAAGGTCGCCCACGATTCGACTGAGTCTGACTTGAAGGTTAAGCCCACTTCGAAGACAACTCTCGATGAGCCCACCACTCCCAAAGTCGAGTCTTCCGCGAGGAAAGTCAAAGTTTCCAAAGCCGATAACTAAGGATTACGACTGATAGATAGATAGTACACACTTGAAATTGAATGTTCATTGACTCTCACTTGTTCCAGACGATAAGAACTTTGAGATGAAGTAGCCAGCGCCCAATAAGGCGGCTTTTGCCCGCCACACCTGACATAGACCCTGACGGGAATCAGGATTGTTGAACACACTCTGGCTCCGGGATCGACTTCGGTTTTTGCCATCATCACCGCCCATCGCTTGTACCATGGATAAGCCAAGCACTCAGCTACTTGCATCTCAAGTTGGTGGACATGCAGGCGTAATGACCACAGAAGATGGATCACTCTTGATCAAACCTGCTCTTCATCATGAGCTCGCATTCTATCAGAAGCTAC